TTTTGTTTACTACACACACACACACACACACACACACACCCCCCAGTGGAGTAAAGGTTAACAAAAAAAAACAACACCTCCCCTAAGACACGGTAACTTAAAAGTAACACAAAAAGTCAAATATTAAATTTAATAAAAAAATTAATCATTTTAAAAGTTACCCTTGCTCTAATCCTCCCCGCCCTCCAAGATGCTAGTAAAAATGAGATAAGGTTGTTCGGAGTACCTTAAGTAGGTGTTTTTATACTATCAAATTCTGAACTGAATTTGCAGTTCCTGCCTTTCTAATGTTTGGTTGTTAAAATGACAATGTTCTTGTGTGTATTTTTTCCCTATAAGGTTATTGATACTTCCAAAAGTGTAACTCTAGCTTAAAGTCATTAGTCCTTATAGTCATTAGAGATTTCTTTAGTGTTTTGATAAAGTTATCAAGAAAAAAATTCTGGTACCTCAATGTATCTACATATATTTTTGACTAATTACAGGATATAAATTACATTATATCCTAGATTTATGGTGTTTTACATGCTAGAATGGCACTAGAATTTCTTCAAATTGACACCTGTAGACTTTTAAAAACTTTTCTTTCTGACTGCTTTGCTATGGACTTTAAGAAGTCTGCATATTTCATTAAGTCTATGGAGACAAAAAGTGTCCCTAACATCCAGTATGTTTTACTAAGGACTTTGAGGTATCCTTGCAAGGCTTAGAATCTCATTTGTAATTATTACATTAGTTCAGATTCATTGGGTGATATGATTATCCTGGTGTTTTGAGGATTGGGGCAGAGGAGAGTTCTTGCTCCAGGCTCAATTAATCTAGTGGCTTCAAAACTCACTTAGGTTAGGCAGGGCTAGAAGGTGGATATTGTAATACCTTCCAGATTCCTTGCAGGCTAGATGAGTTCCACAGAAGGACATGTAGGAGTTAGCTGTTCCATTGTAGTGAAGGCATTGACCCAGGATGTGAGCAGAGATGTGTATGTCACCTTGGCATATTTCTTGTGCTTGTCAGAGATTTGGGGCAGCTATCCCTCTTCTTTGGAACTATAGGATCCAGATACTAGGATTCTTTGGAATTCCCATTCAGTTCCCATACTTCTTTGAAAGCTCTCATGCCACTTTAAAACTATGTATATTTCCCACACTTCTTCAGAACCTTGGCACAACTGTTGTGCTTCTTGGAAACCTGGATGCTCAGCACCCACACACCTTTAGAATGGTGTGCATTTCTGACACCTTC